GACTTTTTATGGGAGCTCTGGTGGCATAGTGCCTAAGGCATTTGACTGCTAACCAGAAGGCTGGCAGTTCAAACCCACCAGCCACTCCTCGAAAGGAAGACTGGGCAATCTACTTCCATAGAGATACTGCCTTGGAAACTCAAGGAGGGGTTGCTATGAGTTGGATCTGATTCGACGGCAGTACATTTAACTTTTGACAATGGTGGACTAATACAGTATTTGTCCTTCTGTGATTGACCTATTTCACTCAGCATAATGTCTTTCAAGTTCATCCACATTATGCAGTGTTTTGCAGATTCTACATTCTTCTTTAGTGTTGCACAGTATTCCTCTGTGTGTGCGTACCACAATTTGTTTATCCACTCCTCGGTTGATGGGCACTTAAGCTGCTTCCATCTCTTTGCTATTGTGAATAGTGTGCTGTGATGAACATGGGGGTGCATATTCATCTGTTCTCATCCTGGCTCTCATTTCTTTAGGATATATGCCTAGCATGTATCCACTAAAGGGACTGCTGAGTCAAATTGTATTTCTAATTTCAGCTTTTTAAGGAATCACCATACTGCTTTCCACAGTGGTTGTATCATTTTACAGTCCCACCAGCAGTGTTATGAGAGTCCCAATCTCTCTACATCCTCTCTAGCATTTATTATTTTCTGTCTTGTTGAACTTTGCTATTAGTAATGGAGTGAGATGGTATTTCATTGTTGTTTTGATTTGCGTCTCTCTGATGGGTAATGATCGTGAGCATTTCCTCATATGTTTGTTGGCCACCTGAGTGTCTTCTTTGGTGAAGTGTCTATTCATGTCTTCTGCCCATTTTTCAATTGAATTGTTTCTCTTTTAATGTTGAGGTGGTAGAGTTTCATACAAATTTTACAAAAACCAAACTCACTGCCACTGAGTTGGATCTAACTCACAGCGACCCCTCCTTGGGTTTCGAGGTGGTACCACTACGGAAGTAGATTGCCCAACCATCCTTTTGAGGAGTGGCTGGTGGGTTTGAACCACCAGCCTTCTGGTTAGCAGTCAAGTGCCTTAGGCACTGCACCACCAGGCCTCCCATAAGATAAGTCCTTTGTCAGATATGTCATTGCAGAATATTTTTTCTTCAACCTGTAGGTTCTCTTTTTACTCTTTTGGAGAAGTCTTTTGGTGCACGGAAGAATTTAACTTTTAGAAGAGCCCAATCATCTAGTTTATCATCTACTATTTGTGCATTTTGGGTTATGTCTGATAGTCTTTTGATGCCCTAAATTATGGTCCCTAAGTTGGCCCTTAGGAGCTCTGGTAGCATAGTGCCTAAAGTACTTGACTGCTAACCAGAAGGCTGGCGGTTCAAACCCACCCACCACTCCTCAGAAGGAAGGTTGGGAAATCCTACTTCTGTAGTGATACTGCCTCAGAAACCCAAGGAGGGGTCGCTATGAGTCGGGGCCCACTTGACTGCAAATAACAACAACAGTAACAAGTTGGCCCCATATTTTTTCTTTGATGAACTTTATAGTTTTAGGTTTCACACTTAAGTCTTTGATCCATCTGAAGTTATTTTTTGTGTATGGTGTGAGGTATGGGTCTTGTTTCACTTTTCTACACATGGATAACCAGTTTTGCCAGCACCATTTGTTAGAGACTGCCTCTTCCCCATTGAATGGATTTTGGCACTTTGTCAGAGGTCAGCCGACCATGTGTCGACAGATCGATTTCTGGGTTCTCAATTCTCCTCCACTGGTCTATGTGTCTGTCGTTGTACCAATACTAGGCTGTTTTATTATTTTTTTCTCTTCAATTGTGCTTTGGTTGCAAATTTACAGAACAGAATTGTTTTATAGTCAACGGTTTGATTTCATGCCCCA